AATAAAGGATATTAGAGTAGTAGGAATAGGGAAATTCCAACCTCCTAAATAGAGCACTACAACAAATAAAGATGAGACTAATAAGTTTAAGTATGAAGCAACATAAAAGATTCCAAATTTTATACCAGAATATTCAGTATGATAACCTGCTACTAATTCTTCTTCAGCTTCTGGCAAATCAAATGGTAATCTTTYAYATTCTGCTAAGGATGCTATAAAAAAAGTAATAAAACCAACTGGCTGRCGCCATATATTCCARCTGAAAATCCCATATTGACACTGTTGTTCAACAATCTCAGAAGTACTCAAAGTATTACATAATTATAGTTGATAAAAAGATATAATTTTTATCTCTACTACAGAACCGTMMATGAAACTTTKATYTCATACGGCTCCTTAATAACTAAAGATATAAAAAATAGAAACGAGAATAATCAAGATATATAAATGATATAAATACAAAAGAGATTGAACAAGTGAAGTAAGTAATAATAKAGTAAACAAATCATACAATATGATAATACGTATATATACGTATTATCATATTGTATGATTTGTATMATATTGTATGATTTTTTTACTMTATTCTTTATTGTATATTCTATTATATTTGATCTCATAGTTATATTCTTATTTATTTCATTTCATTCGTTTTCTTCAATAATCAAGATTCTGTCATTATATTGATTGGCATTTTATTTCTCAATATATTCTATGTATTATTTGCAATATAGATAGATGAATAACAATATGAAATTATATTGTCATTCTCTTTTATTTACATTATTGTTTTATTTATGAATTCTTTATCCTATAATATATCGTCACAAATAGAACTGCCCGGTAAACCGTAGGCAGAGAGACAGAAGAGGACAACAAACGAGGGGCTGTGACAAACTGTTTCGTCGGAGTTTCACCGACTCATCAGGAGGCTGAACCCTAATATATATATATATAGAGAGAGAGAGAGAGAGTGCTTTCTTCCTCCTACCGTCCATCGCTCCTCCTTCCCTTCCAGAGCTCTTCACCTTCTTCTGGGTATGCGAGAGAGAGAGAGTTGAGAGTTGAGATTGGTTGACACTGGACCACAGACCCACATTGGACAGGGACACTGAGGAGCCTATTTGGAGACTTCCGAGTGACATTTGAGTTGACGACGTCTCCATTTGTCCTCCTTTGTCGTGTCTTCCCCCTCCTCTTCATCTATGGATGTTTGCTGGTCTGGCGCCCTTCGTCTGTGTATTGGGCTCCAGGACCCCTCTCACCCTGCCTGACGGTGATGAGTGTGCTGGAGTCAGTCCGTGTCCTTTGAGTCAGATCATGGTATATCAGTCTTCCACTGCGCTATCTGTGCTCTATCTCTTTGGATCGGTTCTTGGTTCTGATCTATATCCTTACAGGCATGTGACAGTTGCTCAGCTGCTGCTTACACCTACTGACGAGGTAAGTTTTTGAATTGGTATTTGCAAATCACTTCCCCTATAATGCTCTGTCTGTTCTGAAGGGTCTTTTTCTATCCTTGAGGGATGTCTCACTAATTGTGAGGTTGAGTTTCACTTTTGAGCATCTCTCGGAGAGACGAAAGTCAGGATGATAACAGTTCTGTGTAGGATTGAGTGTGTCCGCTGAGATAGAAAACACCCTATAGTTTGTCCTTTGGGACGTCAGTTAAAATTGGAACAATACAGAGAAGATTAGCATGGTCCCTGTGCAAGGACAGCCAAAAAAAGAAAACACCCTACAGAACACTGCTGGATCTTTTTTTTTTTTTTTTTTCCCTTTCGGTTCTTATTCCTCGGGCAAGTCGTAAAAACAGTTTACATCACTGAACTCACCCACGCCCCCTTCCGTCTGGCCGAAGGGTCCCTGAACAGCATTGATTACTCCATCAACATGGGGCATTGACTGTCAGCTTGCCTTTCTCTGAGTTTCCTCTCAGATCCTTCAAGCAGAATCTGTCAGTTAGATGATACAGCTAGAAACCCAAAGACCTGCTGTCTGAGTTGAGATCGAAGGAACTCATGTCGCCCTGAGGTCCTGCTGCTCTTCCTGATCGGGAGTTGTCCTTCTCTGGGGGATCGACGAATTGTGCCAGTCCTTCCATCTGATTTGTAAGCCTGGACTAGCCACACTCTGTAAAAGTTGGATATCAATTCTTCCTGTTTCTCTGGATTTTGCTGAGCTTGGAGGACCTTCTTCCATTGGCACCGGATATCGGTCTCCATGAACAGTTTCATAGTCTCCCATGCTTGCTCAGTCGTATTGGTAGTCTTGTCGATTGTCCTGTTGCATCTCTCCTTCCAAATGACCCACAGTGTTATCTTCCTGATTATTCCGAGCCAGACGCGCTCCGATTTGTGGGAAAGAGAGGGGGTGTAGGAGAATTTGGATTGGGTGTTTGGGTAGGGAAGAGGGAAATAAGCGGTCCCAGAGCGCTGAAGCTCTTGCCCACAGGTCAGTAGCGAGTTGACACGTGATCAGACAGTGTACTATATCCTCCTGTTAATTATAGGAGCATACCATCCATTGGTCTGAACTGTTCGGATCGCTGTTCTTTCTTCGAACATGTAGCCAGGCATTCACTGTGAGGGCATTGCAGGTGATCAGCCATTGGAGACTTCTTATCTTGACTGGGCAAATTGACTTGTACTTTCGCCAAGGGAGTTCCGAAATTGGTTCTATTTTTTGTCCAAGCAATTTGGTCCATCTTTCTTTGATTACTGGCTCGGGGTCTTTGGTTCTTAGAAGCTTTCTGTATCCCACCTTAACTGTGTACACTGTTATCTGAAAGGGGGTCTTACATAATCTTTAGCTTCTGAGGGCCTCATTGTCTTGGATTGCTATGTCCGTGTGGAATATTATTTTCGGCCAACTTCCCATTACTCTCAGCTTTCTTAACGTGTAGGAGTTCAGGGTTACTTCTTGTGGGTCGGTCTTGTAAATGACGAGGGATTTGGGGTTTGATCGATCTATGGGGAAGGAGATAGCCGGGCCGGGAGATCTGCGATAGAATTGATACGCTTTCACTGGTACTGTTTCCTGTGTCAGCAGTCCCCATTCCCCTGCTTTCCACGAAAAGTCTTCTTTCAAGAGCTCTTTCCAACTATCAGGGATGCTGTTGACCAGGGCTGACAGGTTCTCTTCCCGGCTGTGACAACCCTTTAGTTAAGCTTTTAACTGGTTCTCATCGATCCAGTCTTTTTTCTCTTCGTCCCAGATGTGACTTACCTTCCAAATCCCGTGCCGAATCCAGGAAAGCCATCTCTGACCTCCTGCTAACGACAGTGGCTGGTCTCCTGCATCTTTGACGTTCTGGTTCCCGAAGAGAGGCTGCTGCAACACCTCTTCCTTGGATTTGGGTTTCTTATCGTGTTTAGGCATTATCTCCCTCCAAATCCTGATAAGTGGTGTCCAATAAGGAGTGGGGGGATGTGCATCGTCTCGCTGTGAGGTTTCTCGGTGTCTTCTCCTACCGGTTTTCAGTGTCCAATCCTTGTTCATTACCCTGAAGAGGCCCGCCATATTATCTGGGGTCTGAACTGAGGCTAAGGATCTAATACTATCCATGGCTAGTTTCTGCCACGCCAACCTGGGTTGGGTTAGTAGCTTAACTACCCATTTGATCTGCAGAGCCTTGGTTTCTTGTCTGGGATCGATTATCCCGAGTTCCCCCTTTGACGACCTCTTGGTTATGTAATGCCAGGCTATTTTAGGAATGTACTTCATTTTATTAGGGTCACCTGACCAGAGGTATGCCCTCGCTCTGCTGTTCAGTTCCTTAACAGTTGGATCCGGTATCATCGCGAAGATGGACGTATTGATTGTTAAAGCTCGTCCTAGCATTGAGGTGAATGTGTTGCCCCATCTTCCCATTCTGTTTATTTGATTCATTAGCAGGTTCTGTGCCATTTGTGGGGATGGGCCCTCCTTGGCAAACATGATTCCCAGGTATCTCGTTGGGTTCTCGGGGCTCTCCCAGGTCATTTCTGCTTCTGGGCCTGCCATTGGAGGTAACTCCTCCGACAACCACCACCCCACCGTTTTCTTCCAGTTTATCTTCATTTCTGAATCTAACCTGAACACTTTCATTGCCCTGACTATTGCTCTTACTGAGGAATCTGATGCCCTAATGAGGATAGTGAGATCATCTGCGAACATTAGCACTGTTGGGAACTGGATATGGTGGGGTGAACCGGTGTTGAGCTCGGGAGGTCTGTCAATCGAGGGCTCCTTGCACAAAAACGATGCTATGGCTTCCATCACGAACAGGAAGATCGGCGGGGCTAGGGGATCACCTTGCCTCATTGACCGACATAAACTTTGTCCTCAGAACCTCCCAAGGGGAAGTGCCGGATTTTGCCCAGTTAGAATGTTACAGACCCATCTAGGGCTTGATCCCTGGTCCGCGGGTTACCACCTGCCAGGCTGCTACTCTATTTTTTTGGAGTCTCTGATCTCCGGTTCCTGACTGTTGGCGCCCTGTGCAGTTGGCGCCCATTCTCAAATCCCGCCTCTGGCACTTTCGGATTTTGATGCTTGGCGCCATCTGACATTCTGGCGCCCAGGCTCAGACCTTCAATTTTCAGTTCAGCCCCGAGGCAAATTGCACTTCTCAGACTCAACTTGAGTTCGGTACTTAAGACCGGACTCAAGCTCAGTTCGGGGATTCAGTCTTCGGCCTCAGTGCTTGTGCTTCAGTGTGACTTGCTGCGACATTGTGTTCCGAATCCAAGATTGCGACTTTGAGACTTTGCGCCTTTGCCACTTTGTGTCTGTGTCCGTCGAGTCGTGTCGAGTCCGTGTCGAGTCGAGTGAGCGTGTGTGTGTGTTCTTACTCCCTCCCTCTATTCCCTGACCTTGCTGCTCTGCCTCTGCCCCATCACATAGAAGATCTAACATTTTTCTGCTTTGAAGTTTGAACAGCAGTCTCTAGTGAGAGCAAAGTTGCAAACAGAACGTCTATCTTCGGGGAGGTCACTGAGAAACATGGAGAAACTTACCCACAGCCTCTAAATCATTGCGGGCGGTTGAAGGATCAAGTTGACCTCTCTCGTAATGGTAACCCTCATCTTGAACTTCTACCTGGACCGCCATGTCTACCAAAGTGATGCTCGGCTTGGCATGAACAGATGAATTGAGTGCTGCTAGTTCCAGCTCTGCAGAGAGAAGCTTTTGTTTGAGCTCAGACTCCCTGGCATCTTGCTTAGATCTTTCAGCATCAACCCTGCAAAAACATTGGTGCACAGTGTTTACAAAACAGGGCAAACTTGGCAAAGCCATTTAAATTTTAAATCGTCTTCCGACTCTGAGTATCCAAGGTACTACTGCAATACCCCTGTGCTATCGGGAAAAATATTTAATAAACTTAAATAAAGTAGAAAAGAAGAATGAAGACAAAAGCAGCAAACAAAAAATGAAGAAAACAAAAACCAAAAAACAGCTGAGCAGACGCCGATAACCCCTAAGGCCCTTGCCCCAAAGACCCTTGCCCTTCAACAATCGAACCCTCATGTCAAGACCCCACTTTTCACCTCCTTGGGAAAGCTCCCCCCACCCTGTCAGACACTGAGCCCAGCTGGTCCACCAAATTTTCCTGAAAAATTACGCAGCACATTATCAAAGTAAACATCGGGAAAACCTCTTTTACGGAGCTCAATCTTCAGAGTGAACAAGAAAAAGCCACCAGGGTAAGTGAAGCCCCCCCTTGAGGAAGTACTGGGCACCAAGTGGAGCCTAGCCCACTACCCAGTGGCCCAGCCGGGCAGGTACCTGGGTTGAGACCCAGGCCGGTAGGGACTGGCTATTGGGAGGTCCAGACCCCGGCCTGAGCAGAGACAAAAGGAGCGGAGACCGGGCCATAATCAGATGGATAGACGGCGGTATCTGGTTTGGGCGCTGGCAGTGCGCAGAGTGGAAATGCCTGTGCCAGTGAGAGCAGTGTGCACATGTGCCATAGCTCTGGTAGCTGGCTTAGCTCAGGGAAGAGGTGGCAGGTGGTTCGGGTAGGTTGGGAGAAGGGGAGCGGCAGTGGGAGCTGGTGGATGCTTACCTGGTGTTGGCCAACGAACACCTACGTGATCAGACTCTTCAGCGGGCCAACGAACACCTACGTGATCAGACTCTTCAGCGACATCTGGCAAGACGAGATGTGGTGAGAGAGTGAGAGGTATCACGCTTTCATTGTCTAGAGCCCTCAGTGTTCAGTATGTCCTTTGATGGATGTGGTCTCGGCTTCGTCATTCTGCTTTCAAATTTCAATTCGGCATACTCAGGATTGGTCTTTTATGAGCTCTTTGCAATCTCAATTTTTTTTTGCTCTCACTTGCTGGTTCTTTGCATTCAGTTGCAGCTTTCAAACATCGAAGTTTAAACCGACCTTCAATCTACTTCTCAAGTCTTGCAGCAAACCAATCATCATCATCCAATATGTGTTCTCGCCTTATAATTCCCTTTGTCGATCACCCGGCTGCATATTCTTACTCATCCCTACATGCCAAAGACGATACAACCTCACCATGGACCACCGAAACATTTTGACAGGGGTAAATCCCGCCTGTCTGTCTGAGATAGTAAACCGGGATGGGCTTTCCGGGCTTCCCCAAAGGTGCCTTCCTGCGAAACTCTGGAAAAACGACCAGGGAACCTAAGACAGCCTCCACCAATAGTGCTGCTTGATTGCTATGGTCACATGCCTTTCCAATTGCTGGTTAAGCTCCTCTTCTCGGGTGTCAGACTCCTTAGAATATTCAGCAAACTTCTTTGCTGCCTGAAACAGAACAAGCAAGAGTGAGCCCAACAGCGTTTGCTGCTGTACATCCAAAACGGAAACGAAGTAAAGAATGCTCAGACATTTCCTTCTGTAACCTGATCAGCCAAGAGAGATCAAGTTCATTGAGCATAGGGAGAAAGCTGAAGAGTTCAAAGCTGAAACGGGAAGGCAATCCTTGGCCGCAGGGATGAGGAAGACAGGCATGGCAGGACGAGCTGAACGGAAACAACACCACATCACCGAAAGAGAAAAGAGAGAATGCATGGGAATCAACGTAAAAACTGTAAAATATATTACCGACTCTGGTTCAGAACAGAAGAACTCAAAAAGTTTCTTCGAATACACACAACAGTTCTATTCATTTAACCATAAAACAAATTTGTTATGCCTATTCTCCGACATACAAAATCATTCAAAGATTTTCAACACCTTTGGGTGTTCCATGTGACTCTTGTGAGTCTTGTCACTTCAGCTAAAACCCAAGATCAAACTTCCATTTGGTGGAGCGGTTTTTTACAGAAAGAAGCTTCGCCATACGTACGATTCGGAGAGGACTGGAGTACTGCTGGCATGTTTTTCTCAGTGGGGAAGTTTCACTCACTCTAATCTTACAATTAGAGGGGCCGTGTTCTGTCAAAGCCTGTCCGGATCTATCTAATCCTGTCTGCTCTCCATGCTATGCTTTCGCACCTCAGCGTCAGTAGAGACCCAGAAAGCTGCCGTCCCTTTTGGCGTTCCTTCTAATATCTATGAATTTTATTTCTACACTAGAAATTCCACTTTCGAAACCCGGGAAAAGCCGGCCCGAGGGAACCACTAGCTCGAGTTATGAGCATCTTTGAAAAGAATGGTTGAAGGCTCATGTACCGTACAGCTAAAATGGAAACAAAATAGACGGGATGCAGGCAAGTGTCAGGCAGCGTCCAACTGACAGGGAGATCACCAGGAAGCGGACAGGAAAACAGAAGTCTTCCCTCCACAGCAGGGAGGGCCGCAATAGAAGACGAGGAAGAGTCACAACCAGCTCCCTGACAACAGTGGCACCCTCGAGAGATTCCAGTCTCTCACACCAATCTGGCACCTTATGTCAACAAGCATAGAGAGGGTTCTGAGAGGGACGGAAGGCAGAACTGACAGTCAATCCTACTGCCCAATGTGCAATCAATGCAGTCCAGTGGACGTTTTTGCCTTAACAGAAGGACACATTATGAGTATGCTGTTTGTATTCTCGATGATTTGCGGCCTTAAAAGTACCTGGACTGATGATTCCCCAAAAAGAAAGGAGCCAGGACCATCAGGCCTGTTTGGAAAAACGGGAAAAAAAAAAGAACCCATAGCGACAAGGCTGCATCACAGAACAAAGGACAAACGGAGAAAGGAATACGGGGGTTGAGAGTGGAAGCGACAACAAAAGCAGGGAACAGACCATTCTCCGCCCTACCTAGAAAAGAAAGAATGGTATTCCCTTCGGCAGGGGCTGAATAGATTGACGACTTCAGATTTTCAACATCGTCGTTCGTCTCGGAATCAAACGAGAGGGACAGGAAAACGTGAGGTCAAATGGGAAAACACTCCCTCCACTATCCCACTGTCACACACGTTGCATTGTTCATTTGTCACCGTCATGGACTGTGTGGTGTGATTGGCACACAAACCTCACAAGTGACACCAGATGCACATCAACTGGCAGTACAACACTGTAATTTGTAGTAACCGATCCATTTTCGATGTTTCTATCCACTGGCACAAGGAAACCAAAACGGTGCTAGCATGCTGCCATTCCACTTCCAATATTACATACCCGTATTTGCTTGAATGTCATCTAATCAGGGTAGTTACAAAAGATGCGAAGCACAATTCGGAGTACCCGGGTGTTATTGTAGGGCGTTAAAACACCTGATCCCATTCTGACCTCGATCCGTGAAACATCTTATGCGATTATTATGTACCAATTTCTTTTGGGAGGCATCGGGACGCTCCATCCTGAAGCTACTCCATGCTGGGAGGCTATCTATTCAAAGTTCAAACGGAACATGTTGTCACACCACCACTGGCATGCTCCATTTTAATTTTGAAGTTTTCAACCCATCCCGAAGAAACTATCCTATGTTCCATTCTTCCCTGATAATAAAAATCATTAAATATGTCCATAGTACTCCATACCGAACAAGCAGTACAGCCGACATGATGACCCACATTCACCAAAGGTGCTCTTTGTGCTCGGCTCTGGAAGGCAAGTTACCTGGTCGAGGTCCATCTGCAAGCTTTCTGAGCGCCGCCTCCACTCCTGTAGTTCCTTACGGGTCCTGTCCAGTTCTTCTTCCTGATGCTTGCACGCACTTTGTGCCTCTCTCGCCAATAAGATCCACTTTTGGCATTCGCAAACTGTCAACTGTGCCCACAACCATGCACCAATTTCAGTAAGTTCTAAAAGAAAATTACAAACTAGGCTACCAGAGTGGCCCAGGACCACTTGCCCGGCCGGGCCAAAAATAAAATAAATAAATAAAATAATTATTATTTTATTTTATATTTTAAGTTTGGTAAGGAATTTCGGTGTGACCCTGAGGCAAAAGTTGTTCAGTTTATTTTTCTGCACAAAATACTTTGTTTTCGGATTTTTTGGATTTTGTTGTTTTGTTTTTTGCTATGACCTTCCCCTGGTCCTTGCACGGCCGGGCCGCCCGGGAAAACAGGCTGACCCGGGCGGCTTGGCTGGTAGCCTAGGTAAGTACTAGGTGCTAAGTGTTCAGCCTGAGGGTTAATTTTACATTTGTAGTTCTATTTCCACAATTGTCCAGTTCTTTTTATGAAAAAGGAAAACAAATACTGATCTCTGAACATTTATCGCTGCACCGTTTTGGCGATAACAGGGCACTGATTTTTGAGTCGGTCGAGCTGCAAGTAACAGACCCGTGGACATTGAGGATCACCAAGTTTTCCCAAGAGCTTGACACTGCTCCTAGGTGCAAATAGTTGCCACTATCTTAGCTGAGAACCCCCAACCAATGATTAGAAGTGTACCAAACTACTGGAAGGACCTGCTGAAGGAAGAGCTTACTTGGAAAGCTGGGCAGTGAGGCGTCCTGACACAGGAAACTCCCCCACAAAATGCCTACATATTCCCCCGCAGACAAATCGTTACAGGCCATCACGCGGTTTTCATATCCTTTCCACTCATCTACGATAGAAAAGGGACTATTAAACCACCAGTACTTCCCAAAATCGCAGCTCATATACGGCCGCGACTTTCGGGATGAATGGGCCTGGGGCGCTATTACAAATTCAGTCAAGTGGAAATGTCGCCGTTTTTTCATTTGGCTGGCCGTATGCAAGACGTGACTTGCGGAAATACTGGTGGTTTAAACTATTTCCAGTATCACGAATCTCGACCTAAGGGGTCGGGGATAGTCTTGGTGGCGAGAAGAGGTCAGCTATGGATGATGTTCGTCGGGTCAGTACTGTCCTCGAGTAGTAATGTCCCGGTATAAGGAGGGCTAGGAGTTGCTCTACGATTAGGAAGCTGGAATTGCTGATATAGCATAGTATTCAATTTTTTAGCTCTTCATCAAAAAAGATTCTTAGCCGAAGCCGGGTAATGGCCCCGGCACCTCATATGTTCTGTAAGAATTCATGTGGGACGCTGGACCCGGTTTCCAGCAGTGCTACTCCCCACGAATAGATTGGAGCAATTAAAAAAAAAAAAAAAAAAAGCATTAGAAGCCTTCTCTGATGAAGGGTAGTGAGAGTTACGGGCATGTACTAGCAACGGATCTTCCAGATAAGTATGCCAATAGAAGACCTCAAATTGCGCCCAACTGAATGGGCATCCCAACCGCGAGCTGGCAGAAACAAGACCCCCATCCCCATAAATGAGTGTTCCATCAAGCTGCCGTCTTCCCCCGAGCACAATCCACCCTCATTTTGACTGTATCGGACCGGGAACGCACCTTGTATACATTCATTTCCAGGGTGCGCTATGCTCGGGGGAAGATGGTAGTCTAAAGAGTAGTAAAGACTATTCCTAAAGAAGAAGTATTCTTTCCCATCAATCCAACATAGACGAACTGAGGCTCGGCGATCGAATTCCATCCAAATAACGAATAAGTACCATGGAAAAGATTTAAGTGTTGAGACCAAATAATAGCATATGTCACCCTGCCCTATTAGATCGATTGGTGCCAGCATCTGCCATCAGGAGCCCCGAGCGGTTGCTGGTCCAGCACAATATCATCAAAAGGTAGGTGATCTAGGTAGGATCTAGAAGGAAATGATGTGCCTCGGCTAGCTCAGTTGATTGAGCACGAAAGTGGTATTCATGAGGTCGTGGGTTCGCTCCCCACGCCGGCCATTCAATCCCCCACGCACCCCTGTGACACACTTCGGGTTCACCAGTGGAGTTAATCGGCTTGGGCCTCCTGGCTGGTTGTGGAAGCAGGCAGTCACTTTCCATCTCGTGCCAGGTGTTAGGAGCCGGGATACTGATCCCCACATAGAATCGAGTTGGAGGCGGGGAATCCAGCCCATAACCCTTAGTGTGTCCATGGTGCGAGGGTCCATCCATACGAGGGAAATTTGAGAGAAAAAAACATGTACAGCTGTCCCCGATGAGTAGAAGATGGAAAAGTAGCCCTGCCATCCAACGCGGGGCTCAATGTCAGGCGAGGAAAAACTGCAGACAACATAGTCAGATGTGTAGTCTGCCCCAAATTCCCCCAATCAAGATCAAGAAGATATCGTCCACTGCCTAACCAACTGCCAAGAAGCCACAGAGTACTGGGCTAGAGGAAGCTACCTGTGGTCCCATCTCCCGTCCCAGAACAGTCCTTCCGAATCCTCATGTCGATAACACCCCATCTCATCCAAGTACGTACGAGAGAGTACTCTGTGGGTAATATGGAAGGAACCGCGCCGTATCACCCCGGATAAGACTCGGGTCGCAAGGGGACAGGTGTGGACAGCAACCGAATGGATGGTTGAAGCAGAAATCAACTGCAAGTGGCAGCAAAATGAAACTATACATACAGAAAAGCCCAGACGCAGAGCATGGCAGGGAGGCTAAATTCAACTGTAACTGGTTATAGCTAGTGGCCAAAAGGCAGCACTCGATGGAATGCGGCTCACGTAGTCAGACTAGCATAGCTCAGAGAGGATGAATCACCAGCAGACCCAGCATGGGAGGGAGGAACAGGACTCTATCTGGGCGTGAAAAAGTGTCGAGAATTCTTGGGTCAATGGGCACGGCAATTCAAGACTTGGAATTCAATCCGGCCGAATGGGACTAAGTATCCTGACCCCATAATTAAGAGTTAAAAAACAAATGGCTAAAGCTAATTGGTCAGGATGCCAGTCAGATATAACAAATACCATGGAAAAAGGTCAAAACAATCCGGCCTATCAAAATCAGAAGCGTCCGATGACTCATCTCCTACATGGCTCTACCAGTCTACCAATGGTTCCCATATCAGAAGAAGGAAGACCGATCATAGCAACTCAAGACTTATGCGTGATACGTTCGGACAATGAACCAGAAGACATGATACACTGCTTAGTATGTTGTATAGAGGAGACGGGAGTACTGTGCTACGCCATCCG